TCATGCTGTGATTCATCGCTGCCGTCTTCGCATGATCATGATCGTCGTGATTTTTGGACTCTGGCCCTGGCTTGCCCAGATTAGCTTCAGGTGATTCTGTGGTCTCAGGCCCTGGCTTGCCCAAATTGGTCCGGGTGATTCTGTGGTTACTGGCCCGGGCTTGCCCGACTCAGCATCGGGTGATTCAGGGGCCCTGACCCAGCCTTGCCCGGATCGATATGGGTGATTCAGAGGCCTTTGGCCCAGATTTGCCTGAATCTTTCAGGGTGATTCAGTGGCTAAGTTTGCCGTTGCAATTCTAAATGTTTTGAGTCTGAGTCATTTTTGTGAGCAGCTAGCATTTAACAGGAAATCAGTGATCTTGAATTGCATCTTATTTAGGCCCAATCTTCTCATTATACTGGGCTTCGCTCACAAGCTAGTGTGTATGTGCGTTCAGAAATAGTGGCATTGGCACGCGCTGTATCCTGGTTTGAAAAGTTGTGTGTTTGCGGTGTGCTTCCAAAAGCTTTTATCAATTGATGCCGCCGCAGCAATTTCCCTGCATCACCGAAGCCTATTGAGGCCCAAATTTGCCAACGTGAGTATACGAAAAGATTCGTATTTGAGAACTTACATCGACGATGATTCTTGTTGGAAATTACAGTCATACACTCTGCTAATTATTGACAAGTTGCATTTAAGGATTGAAAGCTTTCAGTGAATTTTGGGAGGGGTTTAGGAACAAACAGTTATAATGCGCCTAGCTTTTTCGGTACAACCTAGGCACATGTGCCTAACAATGGGGCTATAAGTGCCTATAGTTTTTGGGAAGGCCTTAGGAACAAGGAGTTATATGTGCCTAGCTTTTTAGGCACAACCTAGGCACATGTGCCGAACAATGAGATTATGTGCCTAGGGTTTCTTGCAGGATAAGAGTTCAAAGTTGGCAAACTACCATCATCTTTGTCCTCCTCGTCGCGATGGACCTTGATTCCCTCGACTTCGACAAGGTCGCTGACGAAAGGGTGGCCGGATCTGACGCGCTGATGATGTCTATGACGAGGAGGAAACGGCAAAGAGTAAGAAACAGAAGTCCAAGCTCAAGCCCATCAAGACGATGGGTGTCACGAACGAGACGGCTGAGCTCCGGAAGAAGTTCAAAGAACTTTGGATCCGGAGGCGCAAAGCCTGGGAAAGCAAGTTTTTGGTTGGCAGTTGCTTGCCCAAAGACTTTGTGTACCCTACTGCTGCCTCCGAGAAGATGGCCAAGCAGTCATGGATACTGGGGACAAAGAAGGGGTGCGGATGCTTACCATGCAATAAGGCAAATACTATGAGCGAATGGGCATTGGGAACTGCTGGTCTAGTGGACAAGTTTCGCGCGTGGTACTTGACCGAGCACCAAGAATCGCAACAACATGTGGCGGCTTGCAAGAAGTTCCTTGGCATTAGCGAAAGTTATGAATGTGGCCCTTCCCTCTCCGAGTTTGAGGACCTGTTCAAGAAGCTGCAGCAAGGATCGTCGCTACGAGGAGACATGTCACAAAAATTGCTTTTTGATATTTCGATGATTTTGTCCGTTGGCAAATTTTGACTTAAATTATAATGGTTCCAATCAGATGCAATGCTTGTCAGCCGAGGTTGTTTGGATGGCCAATGCTCAGACAAAGTCTCCTTGATGGCCTGGCGCCTGAACGAAACCATCATTCAGAAGGATAGGGACTTTCTACGAAAATGCCCCACGATTTCCATAGCCCGCGATAGGAGACGCCAAAGACTCCTGGTGCGCTTCGGAGGTGTTACGGATCCTGGGATTTAAAAGTCATGTTGCTGTTAATTTTAAATTTGCTTTCAGGGAACTCGGCTACTTTCGGGGAACTCGGCTACTCAGGACTCATTTCAGATCGGCTATGGCATCATCGGCATGATCAGAGGCTATGGTGAAAGCACAGGAGACATCGTTATTTGGTTGCACAATGGTTGAGCTCTGTTTCTGTAATTATTTGATTTGTTGTGTGTGTGTGTGTTTCTTTGTCTTGTTGCTTCCTTTGCACTGTTCCTTCTCATTATTACTCAAGTGCCTTTGCGTTTATATACTTATTGTTGTTCGTCGTCATTGTATCTTTCAAAGTAAACAGTTGAGGCCAGGGGGGACACGCGCGGTGCTGCAGAACTTTTGCACCAAGTTCCAGAACCCACCCAGGCGGTATGAGGGACCGACTCCTGAGCTGGATACAGACCTTTATCAACACATCAGAGAGTCTATTGAAGTGGTTCTCTCTGATTCCGCGGCAAATGAGATTGCGGCTAGCAATGTGAACCGCGGGCGTCGCGCCCTTCAGATTGAAAGTGATACTGCAGATGCACTCTTGCCCAATCTGAAGTTAGTAGCTCGTGATCACGCTCATTCCTTCAGGCATGTTCTGCAAAGACCTTTCAAATCGTCGGATTACTTATGCCAGTTGATGGATAACAACGTGCTCCATGGCAACTCGATTGTGAGGGTGATCGATGGAAGCTTCGTCTTTCGGCAGTGGTTTGAAATTGAAGTGGGGAAGATGGGTGGCACAGCTCACAACCTGAAATCAGACTCTTGCCATGGAAACAAGTAATCCTGTTTGTGTTGAGTGGCTGGTTTGATCCAATCTTCAAGTATTAGTGTCCCAAGTTTTTTTCAGTTTGGTTTCAAACAAGGCGAAACACCGTTTTGAATCCCACACTACTCCATTGTGCCGGCTTCTGAGCAACCTGCCTGCTGTGATTGCCGTGGCACAGCGAATAATCCAGCAGCGGCATGATGCCACAGGTGCCTCCATCAGAAATTGGTTGAACTCACTGACTTCTGAGCATGTGCTGCAGCTCAGCATGTTGGCAGACTGCACTGACGAGGCTCTGGTCCTCCTCAGGCTTGTCGATGACGAGCAATGCGACAGTGCTGAATTGGGAAATTATGTCCAAGGCTTTGCAGACCGGATCCAAGCTTTGATCCTCAACAAGCTGATTCTGGACACCGGCTACACCAAATTTACCTTAGACACGCTATCGGAAGGCAAGGTTGCTTTCTTCGCTTCCGGTGATGCTCGACGGCTCAGACCTTGTGATCAAGAGATGACGGACCGATGCTTGGACCACATGAAGGTTTGGGTTCGATTGGCCCTGGAAGTCTTGCGGACGGAGTTCCCTCATTATGGACTATTTAGCTCATTTGGGGTGACCAGCCTGAAAATTTACATAGTTTTGAGGTTTCAAGTCTGAGGCCTTAGGCCGTTTTGGGATTCAACTTTTGAGTTCGGGTTTCAAGTTTTGGAACGTGCTGTGTGGCCAGGTCTTCTCGCTGACGAGCTCTTTGGCCAAGACAAGAACATTCTTCCAGAGTGCTGAGAATGAGAGCATTGACAGAGTGGCCAGCTTCTTCAATGTGAGCTCCGGTGGACTGAAGGATCAACTGGATCGGCTCCGACCTTTAGCCCAGAAGCATTGCAAAGAAAGCCATTCCAGCGCGAAAGATGCTTGGGTAGCCACCATGTTGGCTACTCAAAACAGGGGATCAATGAAGGACAGCAGCAAGGTCAAACTATGTCTTTGTTTTAAAAATGTTGCGTTGACTAGATTGATTGGATCGAATTGTTTTAATTGATGTTGAAATGCACTTTATCAATTAACCATCTATGAGCGTGCCTTTCTTTTTTGAAATTTTGAAACCGCATCACGTTCACAGGAGTCTTACCCCATCTCAGACCTGGCCCCAGTGATGTACCGATACCTTGCTTGGCAGGCATCCACGAGTGGGGTTGAGCAGAACTTTGCAAAGTCCGAGAGAATGAAGACGCGCGGACAAACACCTGCATCCGCAGAATTTGAAGACCGGGCCTTGCGAATGTTACTTTGCAAAACAAGCCAGGTGGACATGAATGATACAGTGAAGAAGGCTCTGCAGCTGTACAATCGATGCCATGTGGGTGCCTTGAAGTCTTATCATGTTTGTTGTTTCATAGGGCGTGGTTATTCTGGCCACTATTTGTATGTTTCATTCATCTGAGGCACCACCCGCACGCATGTGAAAAAGAGAGTCGACAAGTCAGTGAAGCGCCCCCCTGGACCTGACGAAGATCCCCGCGCAGAGGCTGGCTTCAAAAGACTGAGGCACAACCAGGTGAACGACGCTATGCTTGGTTTGGATGATGCCTTGTCGTTGTCCTTTGACTTGGATTTGAACCCAAGTCAAGATAGCCAAGTGGCTGCTCTTTGGGGCGAGGGTCATGAAAAAAGAGTTTCAGTTTCAGAAAGGCAAGCAAACCCGGCGGGTCGTTGAGGGCTTCCGTGATGGCCTGCTGGATGAATCAGAAATTGATGAAGCTGATCTAGCCCTCGCCTTGGAAAAGGAGAAGAAGCAGGACAAAGAGCTGGTGCGTGGGAATAAGTCGTTCAATGAGATGGCGTCCAAGATGAATGGCCCAATGGATTGGGACATCCTGACTGGCCAAAAGATTTGGGTGGATTCGACCCTGCAGAACGATCCTGAAGTAGAAGTCTCGCTGATGAAACACAACTTATTTGCAGTCACTGAACGCAAAGAAGCAACTCTTTTTGCAGTCCCTGACTGCACCACCTTGTCAGAACGCGTGAAGCTCTTTGCCGCTTTGTTCGGCCTCAGAGTCTTGGATGGCTCACTTTTGCAAGGTAAGCCAGGCTTTCTTGTCAAGTTCAAGGCATCCATCAACACAAGGCAAAGGGTCTTCTTCAGCAGCCAGTTCCATCAAAAAACATCCAGACTTTGAGGGCACAGTGATGCGTGCTTTCAATGTTCGAGGCAGCAAGTGGAAGCCGGCAGATAACAGGTCCGATGCCACTATCAAGTTGGTCACCACGACTGAAGCTGCGCGGGCCAAGGTTGTTGGCGGGGATGATGCGGGGCATCATTGCAAGTCCTCTTTCTTGGAAAGTATTTCCAAGATGGACTTCAAGAACTCTGGTTACTACAAGCCGTAAATGCGGCATACAGGGAACACCTCGGTGGGGCCAGGTGAAAATATGATGTATGATTGCGTCATTGAAGTCAAGATGGGTTTGTTTTGTTGTATTCATACATTGTCCTGCCCATTGCATAAGTTCAAAACCATTTGGCCATGGTTGGCTGAATAGCGTTCATAAAGCTTTGTCTTCATTTCTAGAAGAATGGTAAATGAACACCTGCTGCTTTTTTCATTCAGAGGCTCAAGAGCTGAACATGTTCATCTCAGACTTAATTCATTTTGATGCCAAGCAATGAACGTGCTTTTCAAGAGCCGCTCGAGCCAGCCAGCCACTGGAGCCAAACCTGGTAAAGATCAAGGTGATGAGTGGCCGGCGGTGATGGGGCGACGATGGCGGTGATGAATGTGGCGGTGATGGGGCGATGATGATGGCGATCATGCATTGAGGGATGGATATCAGCGCATGTTTATTGGATTCAACCCATGGGCAACCGCCTCGTGGATATGCCGTGCGAGCTCAAACAATGCCTATCTTGCGCGCAGCTGGCTTTTTCCGGTATAGAACGTTAAATGACTTCAGAGCCCGACGAGGCCCGGCTGATGCCGGGCTTTATCGGGCTCTGAAGTTACACAAGCTGAGTTTCTGCAAATTCACAATGTCATTTGATGACAAAAGCTGATTCTGCAATTCTGCAAATTGTTTCTGCTCTCAAAAGCCGATTCTTAGATCAAGCCGATGTCATTTGAAGAAGTCAAGCCAAGTTGAAAAAAACACAATTCATGGCAGTTCACGGCATACTTCCGTGATACTTA